CAGGGTGTCAAGGCTGTGCTTGCTGAGAGCTATGAGAGAATTCATCGAAGCAACCTTGTAGGGATGGGAGTGATTCCTCTGCAGTATTTACCTGGAGAAGATGCAGGGACTTTAGGACTCACCGGACGGGAGCGTTACACGATTATCATTCCTGAAAAACTAAAACCACAGATGAACATCCAGATTAAGGTATGAGACACCTAAAGGATGCATTTTCTGAATCACTGGAATTTCACTCAAAATAACTGTCTCTTCAAACAATGTACTTTCATATGGCAGTAAACTTCTCTCACTTGAAGAAGGGAGAAGAATTCAGGTGGTGAAGGGGATGGAAACAGTCATTCTCATTGGGGTTTGCTATGATGGGACATAAAAGCAGCAAGCCCAAACTGTTTTATTTAGCACACGGCACTCTTGTATTTTGGACCAGTCCTTCAAATGTCCACTATAAACTTTTCTGTCTCAGGTAAATATTGGAAGCACAATAGAAAATCAACTGTAAATAGTAAAGAGATTAAACATATCTTTTAAAATTAATTTAAAATTTAAATAATTAATTGGCAGCTGAACTGACAGAATATTGTATACTGCAATAAAATCTAATTAAACTTCAGGGTCTGTATCTGAAAGATTGCCTTTTGTCTAGCTTTGCCTCCAAACCCATGCCCTTGTTTAAAAAGTCATAGCATCTATGATAAAAATTTGGTTTATTCTTGACTAGAACATCTGTAAAACTGACTTACTTAACAGCATCAAAGTCTGCTTTTTTACTGTGGTTAGCAAAACTGTCTATTTATTGCATGTTAATCTAATGCAGGTGGTCTCCCTGGGTTAGTTTCTAACAATGTTCACATGTGCCTCATTGACTGCCCTGAAGTGGAGAAAGTGTAGATCCCAAAGAGCTGGTCACTTTATCAGTTACAGATGAACATTGTGCATTCATCTGGAAGTACCTGACTATGGAAGTCTTGAGTTAAAGACAGTGGTTTTATTCACATCATGCACTTGTCTTTGTGCTTTTCCCGATTCCAAAACACCAGGCCTGAAAGAAAGCTCGTGGAATACACGTAGGTGTTGCACCCAAGCCAGAAGAATGACACCAAGAGTTAGTATAATCTCTTGGAAGGATGTTCACCTTCCATGCCTCTAGGCTTATATCAGCAATAAATCTGAATGAGGCAGCAAATACAGTGCAAGGAGGAGACTCCATACTGTGCTTATTATGGTTTGTTTTAAACCACTTTCCTCTTAAGCAGCTGGCTGTAGTCTAGTGGGAAAAAAATACTAACGTCCAGTGTCTGTTCACTTCAGCTTTCTATCACAAGTTCTTAAGATGGCAAAACTATCATAATAGTCCTTATTCTACTATGATGTCATGTTACATGTGGAAGGCTCTGCTGCTTAAATGACTCTCTTTGACCCCAACAGCTGGATACTGGGAAAACCTTTCATGCCATCATGAGATTTGACACGGACGTGGAGCTCACTTACTTCCGTAACGGCGGCATTCTGAACTACATGATCCGTAAAATGGCATCCTAATCAAAAACATGAACCAAAAATGTCCAGGTACAAGCCTGCTTCTGGTGAGCACGGTGAAACGATGGTAATCATACATCTGAAAGCATGAACCATAAAGTGAACAGGTTTTTTTGTGGATTATACTAGAAGTCACAGTGCTGAATTATTCCATGTATCAGGAAACTGGACATGCTTGCCCAATTAAAGTAAACAGCATTTATTCTTTGTTTTGTATGGTGGTTGGCTTGAGTTAACTTAGAATACAGTGCAGAAGTCACTAAAATATTTTGGGGATCTGTGGAGCTGTTGAAGATCATATGCTGATTTCATGTATTTGGTCTATTTAGTTTGGCTCTGAAGTTAAGTTTTATGCTCATATCAGTGGTCCAGAAATTAACTGACAGTATATAAAAAAAATTTTATTCCTTCCTGATTACCTGACCTTGACTTATTTTCTTACTCAGTTGTCAAGAATCTGAATCTAACACTGAAATTAATTATTTAGCTGTTTATTAACTTCTAAAAATGTGAACTTTGTTGTTAAAAATCCAAGCCTTTGTAAAAAAGGTGGACCTATTGGGGATAATATTTCTAATGGATAAAATTAAATTTATTTTCAAGAAGTTTGGTTGTTGTTGTCATGTTGTCCTCAGTACTGAGATGCAGAGCAAAGCTTTGACTTTAAACTCTTATCATTGTCCCTGTAGGATTAGAGTCATACAAGTCTTGACTTCTGACATTTTATTTTTGTTTCTTTGGATAACCTACATGAGACAGGATGAATACAAATATTATGAGATACTGGCAGTCTTTTGTAACATACCAGAATACTGCTGTGATGTGCTTCCCTCTGTCCTGTGTCCTCAAGAAGAAACTCTACAATTTCAAGATCCAGCAGTAGGGCACTTAGCAACCAGTGATTACAATAATGCATTCACTGAAGTCAATGACTGCCCAGTCCACTATACCACATGAATCAAGTTGCATTGATAACAAATACCCTCCTACTCAAGACATAAACAAGGTTACAGTACTAGTTTGTATTCTTAACTGTATTTAGAGCAACTGGCACAACACATAGCATAGTGGAGAAATTCTTTCTAAATAGCCTTCTAATGTATTTCTAGTGCAGTCAGCTCTAGCTGTACCCGGAGAAAAACAATGACAATGGTTCTGAAAAAAGAGGCTTGAGAAAAAGGGTATAGTGATTCCACGGTACCTGCAACAGGCTGTTCTTGCTTGATTACAGCAAACAGAGGTCCTCTTGCAAACCCAGCAGAGGTCCATGAAGATGTTTCAGGGTCTGGAGTATCTCTCACATGAGTACAGGCTGAGAGAGCTGGGACTGTTTAGCCTGGAGAAGAGAGGGCTCTGGGACATCTCTGCTGTTTGTGTGTAAATATTTGAATGGAAAGCACAAAGAAGATGGACCCAGGCTCTTTTCAGTGGTGCTTAATGACAGGGCAAGAAGAAATGGGCACAAACCTTAAACATGGAAGGTTCCTTCTGAACATCAGCAAACACTTCTTCACAGTGAGGGTGACGGAGCACTGGCTGTAAAACATTGCCTGGAGAGGTGGTGGTGTCTCCATCCTTGCTGATGTACAGATGCTGTCTGGACATGGTCCTAGGCAAACTGCTGTAGGTGACAGATGACCTGTAGAGGTCCCTCCCAACCTCAGCCATTCTGTGATTCTGTGAAACCTCTTAACAGAGCTGCTAATATGGTCATAATCTTGAGCATTATTTGGTAATAAATATGTTTTCGGGTTCAATTAGAAAAAAAAAAAGGAGATATTCTGAAAGGCCAAGGAGAGTGCTGGTGTTCTTCCCCAACCTCCCATCTCCACTGTGTACTGAAGGTAGGCTTGTTACCCAGTTTTTGTTAATGTGTTACCACATCAATTATTGCAAAAAAAAACCGCAGATTTGTTTTAGTCTATAATCCTTGAGTTGAAACAACAGGAAAAGACTAGAACTCCTCTGATCCCTTAACTTCCCAGTAGTTACTAGTATAAGATGTGAATCTTAAGACTGGTTATTTTATGTGCCAAGAGTCCCAAACTAGATGGCCTGTTCACACAACAAACTGATTGTGATTTTCCACGTACTTACAACTTGAAAGTGCTAAGCCAGCCTTTTTCAAAATCTTTATTCCTAGTATTTTTGGAGGGGAGGCATTATCCAACCATAAATCATCTCTATCCATTTTTCTGTGTTTCATTTTTGGAAGCAGCTGTATAAGAACAGCAAAGGTACTAGATAACAGCTAAACAGAGAGTAGGACTGAGATTCAGGCTTCGTGCATTGTGCACACAGCTTCCACAGTAAAAGGCACAGACTGGTCTGGAACACGAAGTAGCACTTATAAAGTAGTTTTGCTTTTAATGACACGTAACACTTGAAAAGAACACCACAAGTCTCAGTAGGGTTCAGGTAGTTTAAAAAATGTTTGAACACAGGTTCTTGCTCAAGGTGGTTTGTTCAGAGTGCAGGAGTTTCAGACACATAATTCTTATACCTACATACCTTACTACACTATCAAATGCATTAGGTGGACTAAAAATACATTTGATCTTGGTTCCAGAAATACTGAAGTTTAAGCTCGTTGAACATACATAGAAGCAGTAAGTGCTTGTAAAGTGTACAAGTTGCCTGCATGGAAGTACAATCCAAACGGGAGTTACAACAAGATTTTGACTTACAGAAATGCTTGAAGTTGTGGCCTGTCACCTATAATTAGATGTTTTGTTTAGTCATTCAACTTGTTTTTTTCAGACCAGCTTCTTCATAGCAGCAAGGATTAAGATCTAGATGCTTAGGCACGTGTTTGGCCATGCTTACATTAGAACTTCTAGTGAAACAGTTAATGAGATAGTGATTTTTTTTTTTTTTTGAGTGCCCGTACTAAACTTTTTTTAACTAGCCAGATACTGATGAGTGGCCTAGCATATCAGGCAGCATAAAGAACATCTTGTACATGGAAAAAGATCATCCACTATTTCGGTTTATGCAGTAGGGTGATACATGCATTAAAATACTGTGTTCAGCAGTGCCCTGGTTCTGTGTAAAAAGGGGTTCAGGGCAGGACCCACACGGAACAGAACTATGTACTCGCCTCTCCCCCCCTGAGAGAGAGAGAGACACTTTGGAAAAAAAATGAAGTATATTGTTCAACAAGGAACAGAAAACGAAAAAGGGAGGTAAGGAAAATAATATATACAAAGATTAGGGGAAAAATACAAAAAATAAAATATACAAAACCCTCAGAAATGGTTCCAGGGTCCCACGGAGTGAAAGGAGAACTTTCCTCTCCGAGCTCCAAGGCAGGAGTGAAATTAGAAACCACTCCCTGCCTCTTATCAGAGTGTGTGTGGGAAGGGGAGGGAATACAATGGTTTCACCCCCACCCGGGGTATTCCCAGTTGCTGGAAGGTCACGCCCCCATTCCAAGCCTCAAACCACAACAAGCAGGATGTTTATTCATCATCAAAATTCTTCAAAGCAAAGTTTATGTCTCTCCATTTCTGAAAATCCATTTGTGTCCCGGTTTCAACGTTCTCTACTACAAAGCTTTTGATTTTGATCACTGGTAGATTATCGAATGTCTTATACTTCACTGTGATTCCCCAGTCATGCTGGCAATTAGTATTTTGGCAATGCATCTTGCTTTTTTTCTCAAAACAATCAAACTGGACTGGCTTCCTGTGAGGCTTTGTTATGTAACGCTCCTTGAACGCATCTCCTAGGACAGTATGATGAGATTCCTGAAACAACATAGGCCAGAAGCACTTAACAGTAGAAACACCATTCCTCATTTTTTCCTGACATTCCCCTTACCCTCCTAAGTATAATTTCTCTGGTAAGGTGCGTCCTGTCATGCAGGAGGCTCACCTTCCAGCGCCCTTGGCTCATCGCTCTCTCTTCCTCACTGATGAAATACTAGACACCAGAACCAACCCTGAATTTACTATATATCACCAGTCACCAGCTTATCCATAGCTGAGCTTATGTAGCTTCTCTAAAAACCATGTTTGCATGGAGAAATGGATCAAGTTCAGAAAGACCACAATAAAAATGTCCCCATGAAATACCTAGAAGCAATGTGAACTACTGAAAGAATACGGGGGAAAAAAGTAATACTGATGAATTAAAGGGCTCCTCTTGTAAAACCATGAAAACTGTCCCAGAAGCCAAGGAGCTAAACAGTGAGCCAATTTCAATACTTTTTGTGGATAATTTTCAAGTGATCAGAAATTGTGGCAGAAATCTCTCAACTGCAAGAAGACTTCCAGTCTTATATTAATCAGGAAAGTAAATATCCAGCAGTTACACTAGTAGGTTATATCATTGAAGATCACTTGTTTTTCCACAAAATCCATCAATCTTCATGTCTGCACATCTTGGACATCATCAGCTACCATCATAGTATGCTACAGAAGCAGTTATGACTGGTCCTGTCATAACCAACAACAGTACAAATTTACTCATTATTTTTCAGCTCTGGTTTGCACAAAATAGCCGACTTTCCACACTGATAAACCACGCTCTCAGTTTGATAATGCTGACTCCTTGGTGCTCATGGGTGTGGGTTTCCATACAGACACATACCTTTATAACTCTGATGTCATCTGTACTGCAGGCATATGCTTTGCATTTACCACACAGAAGATTTCTTTTCCCTTCCACTACCTGACATCTTCTGTCTTTCTTTCTGGAGTCTCGTAACACCTTGTCCTTCATTTGTAAGCTTTGTATCTTTAAAAAATAAGTAAGTAAATATCAAGGTCATTTTGAAATTAAGAGAAGCCCAAATGTATGTCTCGACGCAACCCAGGATATGTACCGTGTAGGAACCTGTTACCTGAAAGCAAATAAACCAAACATTCCTTATTCTAGCAACCTGCACCAAAGAAACAACATGGTACACTTGTCAGGTTAAGAATCATGGCTAGAGTAAGACTACATGATGGACAGCGTTTATGCTGTTTGTTCCTTCCATCCCTCTATCCCACTGTGGCCCCTTTGGTCATAACATTGTTAAGTCTTTGTGAAGACTAAGTCATGTTAGACCAGCAGCAGAAGTAGCACTGCTGCTCTGGGAAGTTCATGGTTTTGAAAGAAGACTCCAGAGACCACTGAAATTTCAGACAGAGAAAGTGGCAACAGCCACAGCCTGGAGACAGGCATCTGCAGCTCATCAGGAACAGAATACTGAGAAGAAGCAGGAGCAGACAAACCAAGCCTTGGAGGTGGATGAAGAAATTCCACAAAGGCAAGAGGGCCTTGGACATCCTTTGTTATATAGCTCAGTCCCTGAAAGCTTGCCTGGAAACATGGGTGGGATCTACAAAACCATAGGGATACAGCAGAACTCTGTACAAAGCCTTTTTATTTGTAGTGGCTGCAACTGACTTATTCCAGTCTTCTCTGGAAAATTTGTCACAAAGATCTAGGAAGATAGAACAGTAGAATCTTTTAGGTTAGAAAAGACCCTTAAGATCATCAAGTCTAACCACAAACCTAATGCTGTCAGGTCTACCATTAAACCATGTCACTAAGTGCCATGTCTACCTGTCTTTTAAATACCTCCAGGGATGCCAACTCCACTTATTTGGGCAGCCTGTTTCAATGCTCTGACAACCCTTTCAGTGGAGATATTTTCCTAATGTCCAATGTAAACCTTCCCTGGCGCAACTTGAGACTGTTTCCACTGATTCTGTTGCTTGTTACTTGGGAGAAGAGACCAACCCCCACCTCACTACAACCTCCTTTTATGTAGTTGCAGAGAGTAATAAAGCCTCCCCTCAGCCTCCTTGTCTCCAGACTAAACAACTCCAGTTCCCTCAGCTGCTCCACATAAGAATGGTTCTCTAGACCCTTCAACAGCTTTGTTACTTCTCATTGGACACACTCCAGCACCTCAATGTCCTTCTTGCAGTGAAGGTCTCAAGACTGAACACACTATTCAAGGTGGGGCATCGCCAGTGCCACACAGAGGGTGATAATCAATTCCCTAGTCCTGTGGGCCACACTGTTTCTGACACATGCCAGTGTTCCTTGTTAATGGGCATCACATTTGCCAGCCTCCAGTCAGCCTGGACCTCCCTGACTAGCCAAGACTGATCATAAATGATGAAAAGTGGCGTGGTGAGCACTTCTTCCAGCTCCTTCAATACCCTTGTCTCAATCCCATCTGGCTCCACAGTCATGTATTCCTTAAGTGGTTCAGTAGATCACTGATCATTTCCTCTTGGATTATGGGGGTGTTCATTCTACTCAACACCAGTATCTTCCAGATTACATGGCTGTGTACCCTGAGAACACTGGTCTTATCATTAAAGTCTGAGGCGAAGAAGGCATTAAGTACTTCAGCATTTTCCCCAGCCTTTGTCACTCTTTTATTCCCCCTGCATCCAATAGGGGATGGAGATTCTCCTTAGTCCTCTTTTCATTACTAAAGTATTTATAGAAACATTTTTTACTGTCTGTCATGAAAGTAGCCAGATTAAGTTCTTGTTTGGCTTTGGTGCTTCTCATTTTCTCCTTCCATAACCTCACAATACCCTTCTAGTCCTCCTGAGTCAGGAAGTAGTCCAGCTGTGTCAGGAAGTTATCCTCCACGTGCTCCAGGAACCTCCTGGACTGTTTCCTCTCTGCTGTATTGTATCTCCAGCAGAGAGCTGGGAAGTTGAAGTCCCCAACAAGAACAAGGGCTAGCAATCATGAGACTTCCTCCAGCTGCTTATAGAATATTTCATCTGTCTTTGCATCCTGGCTTGGTGGTCTAAACAGACTCTCACCATGATATGCACCTTGGTGGTCTTCCTCCCTGATTCTTGCCCATAAACACTCAACCCTATTGTCACCATTGTTAAGCTCTAGACAATCAAAGCACCCTCCTAGCATACAGGGCCACTCCACTGCCGCTCCTTCCTGGCTTATTCCTTCTGAAGAGTTTACAGCCATCCAGCATGGCACTCCAGTTGTGTGAGTCATCCCACCATAGTTCCATGATGGCAACTATGTCATAGTTCTCCAGCTGCACAACGGCTTCCAGTTCCTCCTGTTGGGTGCCCATGTTGTGTGTATTGGTGTAGAGGTACATCAGATGGGCTATTGTTCCCACCACCTTTTTTTAGGGGACAAGCCCTAATGCCTACGTGACCATTCGCAGGCACTCCCATTGTTTCTAACCTATCAGTAACCCTTGTCTTTCCTTCCATGTGGATCTCCATCCCCCACCTCCACTGAGATGGCAGACTGAAGGACCTCACTAGCACACCATCCCGCAAACATTGGTGTGCTGCCCCTAGGCTCATCTCCAGCAAGCCTGCTTTTATCCCTTTCCCTCTACAAATCTAGTTTAAAGCCCTTTCATTGAGCCCTGGTAACTCATGCGCCAAGATCTTTTTCCTCCTTTACAACAGGTGTACCTCATCTATTGCCAGCAGGCCTGGTGTTATGCAGACCAACCCATGATAAAAAAAAAAACCAAATTTTGCTCGTGACACAAGACTTGGAGCCAAGTATTGATCTGCTGGGTCTTTCTGTTTTTTTCCTCATCATTCCCTAAAAATGGAAAGGCAGACAAGAACATAGAGCAGAACATGCTCCTCATCCCTTAACCAGTCATCTCAAGGCCATGAAATCTCCATTGATTGCCCGTGGGCTTCTTGTTGCAACTTCATCATTGCCTACCTCAGAAATCAATAACAGATAATAATCAGAGGGCTGTGGCAGGTAAGAAGCTTTCTCTTCACATCTTTAACCCAGGCCCCAGAGAGGCAACAGATTTCCCTAAGAAGTGGGTCAGGTCAGCATTCTGTTCCCTTCAGGAAGGAGTCTCCTATGACAATGACCTGGGTTTTTTTCTTTATGGAAGGGGTTTTGACACAGTGTGTAGGCTGACTTAGCCTCAGTGACATCACCAAGCTAGATGAACCATCATCCTTGTCATTCTTCAGTTGCACTTGCAGAGCCTTGTACCTATTATGCAAAGGCAGCTGGGAAGGTGGGGTGGTCACAGAGGAAACAAGCCAGGTGGGAACCTGCCCAACCAAAAGTTCATCACAGGCTTAGCCCAAGACACCTCTTGCACATCACCTCACCACCACAAGTTCTTGACACTTCTTTCTACCCCCATGATATTTTCTGATCAGGCAAGTGTGCAGGACAAAGCAGGGTTAATGTAAAGTGCTGAACATGTGCTGAGCTGTTTTAGTAGGCTCGTTCATCTGCCCAGACATGGCTTGACACAAAGGTGAACAGTACTGTAGGCACTACAAAAGAAGTCACCAGCAGAAAAGAATGCACAAACCCAAATGTCATCCTGTTCATGTCCCAGGCAAATTTCTTGAAATGTCTTGGAAAGCACTGCTCTGGAATCAATGAGCACTTGGCATGACAACAAACACCTTAAGAAAAGCATTTGTACTGGCCTCCAGCAAAGATAAAGTGGATGGACATATTACCACCATCTGCATAGTTTCCCATTCCTCTGTCCACTATCCAAAGCAGACAGCAGTATTTTCCTTCCAGTAAACAGAGTAGTTTATATTACATTTCTAAGATGAGAAGTTTATAGAAAATCTACTCAAGTTCTAAGTATGTTCCAGTACATATGACATTTTGCAAGCTAGCAGTACAGACTGCCCCTTCACTGCTGATCTAGCGGTGGTTATCCTCAGGTTATCACTTGGTTCTAGATAAAGCCTAGTAGATGATGGTTGGTACAGATTATGCCTGTTCATTGGAGTATGAAAATTCCACAGAAGTACAAACCTTTCTGGAAAATGTCATTTCATCCCAGTTCTGTAGCTTTTCAATAGCTTCATTCATCATTTCTTCCTTATAGCGGTTGTATTTCTCGTTTTCAACCACTTCTGCTTTGCTTGTCACAAGGATACACTTGCTGTCTCTTGCCCTTCCACGACCTATACAGCGAGACATTTATCCTCTTTAGTTACTTTTAACAAGATGTGCAGAAGTGGCAGCTATGGCATAAAAGAGCGTTAAGGAACTTCTGTGTGGCTGTTTCGGTTTCCCATGTTCAGATTCAGATAATACTGCTTCTAAAAAGTATTCTCTCAGCTCTTTCTTCTTCAATCACAGAGCAGAACACGATGTCCCCTGCTATGTAACCTCATGGATATCCCCTAGCCAGTATTGTGCTGCCTGCTCCTGTGGCCTTGCCTCAGTTGAGCTCAGGCATGCTTGGCACTTCAGTTATTATTGCACAGCATCATGTTGTCTTCTTGTGAAAAAATAAAAAAAGTTCATCTTATGCACTAGTTTCCTGCCCAGCTAAGTAGTGTCTATTGAAAAAAAAAATAGTCTACAACAAAAGAATTGAGGAACTGGGAATACAGTGCTGGCAAGCAAAGAGACAACAAGAGCAATGGCCATGTCTTCGACCTGTCTGTGCCTACTGATTGCCTACTTTTTGCTGCTGTGGCACAGGCAGATCAAGAGCTGCAGGGATCTCATACTGATTTACAAGTATTTCAGTTAGAAAAGGTGTTCACGTTTGCATTTGAGCTCCCATTCCCCAAAATCATGATTTTATGTGGTTTAAAACTGATGCATCCTATTTTCTTTGCAACTTTATTGTATTATTAGTAATAAACACTATCCTGTTACCCATAAACATTAATTCCAGGCCCATTATTTCATTGTAAGACAGCAAATAAGAAATTCACAGGACTCAAATCCTGAAAGCGAAGGACTAAGTACATGGAGATCACTTCCTATGATGAATTATAAATTATGAAGTTAACTGCTTGGGTGATTAACAATGAAGTGTTGCAGACGCACTTGAAAGATGTAGCTGGTTTTATGACACTGAGAAATGCTGAACAGAAACCAGGATTCAGTATGGCTCTTTGTTCCCCTCTACTGGCTGTATTGTAAAATCATCAAAGCTCAAGACCAAAGTTGTGGTAGACCTCTTTAGACAAGATAAGCAGACAGAAATTTGGGTTTGTTTTTTTTTTTTGTCTTTTTTTTTAAATTTTTTTTTTTTTATTATTTTTTTTTTGGTCTTGAGGTCTGCGCATGAAAAGGCCTCAGGTACCCATGAGCAGCTGGGGAGGTGATAAGCCACTGGGCAGGGGAAGGTCCTCAGAAGCCAAGGCAATATGTGAAAGTCCACTGCAGCAGTCCTTGGTAAATTGTCAGTTGGACTGATCTGCATCACTTCTGAATACAGTTCTTCTAGCTGTACTTCTGCGTATGTATAGTTAATTGTGTATAACTATCCACTTGAGGGATCAGTCTGCAACAGTTCAAAAACCTTGTGCAGCATGGCTAATTTTCATGGCATAAGAAAAGTCATGTGGCATCAGGGGCTCAGTTCTGTGAATAAATTTGTCATGTCTGGGTCCCATCATTCATCTGACTTCACTCAAGGGCACAACAGCAGTTGTTGAGGAACAACAAGAAGACACATACTGCTACAGCATTTCCAAAGTGCCATTCAGTAGCACTTTCTGTTCATTTCTAGACCAAAACAGGTTTGTAAAGTAATAGGTCTGAAACAACGTACCTCTGACTTGGATCATTTTGGTGACATTACCGAAGTATTCATACAGCACAACAAGGTTGCACTCAGAAATATCAATGCCTTCATCAGCAACAGATGTAGCAATTAGCAGTCTCATGTCTTTCTTTGTTTTGAATGCATCCAGTATAATCTTCTGCATTGGGAGGGTCATACCTACAGTATCAAAAAACTATGTCAGGAGAAAATACTGAAGAGTTCTTGAGCAAGATACCTGCATTTGCTCTTACTTCAGTGATTAGAAATGAGCACGTGCTTTTGATCTGGAGAAGTACTCTTAAGTTTGCATATCCATCTGTCTGCATGCTACACCTACTGATCAGGAACTCCTGTTGATGTGCCACAGGAACTGTCATCCGGGGGAACACCATTTCAGACACAACATCTAGCTGAGCTTCATTAAAGACCCATACAACATAGTTATTTTCAGCCCAAGATAAATCTTAACTTAAGCTTAACTCATTTTGGCTGTAACTTCTGTTCTACCTTAAAATGTCTTTGTGCCAGCAAACACAAAACAAGAGAGGGATCTGTAAAAGGAACAGGGAGAATACCAATGGAAGTAATCACAAGAAGACATAATAGCAAACAGTTTGTAAACTACTTTTGAGCTAGCAGACTTTTTGAACTAGTGCAGCAAAGGGTCACTGGCAGTGTTTTACTGCTGCATTGACAAAAGATTCTGGACAGGAAAAGCAAGCATCTCCTTAGGACTGGTTAAAGTTTTCCTAGATTTAGAAGAAAGCATAGTGCAAACTTCCATGACCTTCCTCTATTCAAGAGCATGGATGAGCTCAGGAAGAGTAGAACAACTTCAGCAGTGTAGCTACCATAGGTCTAAAAACTGGTGTCCCTCAGTGCAAACTTGTGTACCTGTCTTTTGATCTCTTCTTCCACGACCCATCAACACATCAGACGTTATGTAGCTAAGTAGAGGGTTTGCTTCTATCCACTTCTTCAAAGCCTGGAAAGCCAATCAGGGAGTTAGATACTGTCCAGATGAAATGCTAATTTGGAACAGATAGGTAGATTGTACCCATGCTTGCCTAGACAATTAATACTACCAAGAACCAAAATCAGAAAAGGTGGAATTTGTGCATCAGGAGTGAACAGCTATGAACGGGTGAGAAAGGAAGGGTCTCAGCCATGATGCCATTATCGAGCCATGCCACTGCCTGTTTCTACTTTTCCCACACCTGCAACTTAAAGGCTGGCTAGAGAGCAAGCAGCCTTTCACTGCTAAAAATAGGACTTTTTCTCTTATAAACCAACAGATCATTGAATACTGCGTCTCTGGGATCCAAAGGAAATCGTTTGCTATGTACAAACTGCACTTTCTCACTGCACAGTGAATGGGGCACCTTCAAACTACTCTTACATAAGAACAAAATTCAGCCTAGCTACAGCAGGCTTTTACGTCTATAGTGAAAATGTGCCAGCAGAGGCTTGGTGTTGTCAATTTGGACTTTAGCCTGCCTTTTTTATTTTTTTCCCCCCCATTTTTCTGGTTTGTGATTCATCCAGCATGTCTATACCCATGGTTAAAATGGGTGTTGGGACACTCAGCTGATAAATCTGTTTACAGTAGCCAGAGGCTATGACACCTACCAGTAAATGTTTAAGAGCAACTGAAGCTAATGATTAGCTGCACACTTACGTCAAGCCTTAACTTTTTCTAGGAACAAGATACTGAAAGGGAGAAAAAAGATCATGCAGCCTAGATCCTTGATCCTAGGCATATATGAAACAGACTGGTCCATCAGAAGGGTCCAGAGAACATCTGCTCCACAAAGTCTTTCCATTTCCTTGATCAAGAAGACATGCCAGGGCACAGACTTCCTTTGGGCCTATATGAATCCTCTGGGAGACCTGTAGATACCTCCTGATGTAACAGAGCAGAGCTGGTAGTTTGTAACACTGCCGCATTAAAGCCAACAACCTTGTAACCCATCTTGTTAAAAAGTACTTCAGACTGAAAGTAACAATCTGACACTTAATAATCAACTCTGGCACCTGGCAAGAAGTGATGAAGGACACCACTCAGGGGTGGTATCAAAAATATAAAATACCCAACCCTCATCCTCTCTCAGAGCATGAGTGCTTAGGAATAAAGGTAAGTACGTTCTTAGGAAGATAAAATACATGCATCCTATTTCTAGATCAAAATGGGAAGTGTAATAAGTGAGGCATTATATCTTCTCACTTCCAATTTTAGGAGCTTTAAAAAGAAATGTCTTACAGCTACTAAGGCTCTTGTCTTAGCAAAGAGAAGAGTGCGGGTCTGTGGATTATAGCGGTATGCTTCATCCAAGATGCAAGCAAGCTCTTCCAGCTTGGGATTCTCATTTGATTCATCTTTTGAAAGGGCAGTCAGTTCTGGTTCTTTCTCTGGAAGAAAAAGCAGTGTCATGAATAATTTAATTTCTTTAATGCAGAAAATCAAATTCTCATACAAATGTACTTTCAAATGCCACCCACATTCTCTTTAGCATCTGTTTTTATTTTCCGTGCCCTTCTTTCAGATGCCAGCAAATAAAGCTATTAAATGCAACAAAATCCTGAGAAAACCACCAGTTCTGAATACCTGACATTTTATAGCAAAATGACAGGACAACCTCTGTCATGTACTGTGCATTAAAAGACAACAACAAAACAAACTCTGCTCTTCCAAAAGCACTGCCATTTCTTCCTGGGAAACAACTGACGCTAGAGGGCAGATGGCCCAACGATTTAAAATTGCAGTCAGCTCTGGAAAACCCCATACCGAAGGCTGGTTTACAGCACACTGCTCCTAAACCAGAAGTCAGAGAACAGGGCAGCCTCTAATTTGTAATCAGAAGGGTACAGGGGCCACCTGCTTCTTCCCAGAAGTTAGGGATTCATCCGGGCGCACTGGGCAGGAGGAGGCCAGACAGTGCATTGCGTTTCCTTACGCAGTGCTGCCAGCATCCATGATGGCAGACCATGCCCCTGCTTTGCCCCTTATGGATGTCTCCAAGTCAGGCATGTAAGAACCTACTACAACATATAGCTACAATTATTACTACTTCCTTACCTCCTGCACTAGAAGCTTGCCGTCCGAGAAAATAAGTTCCTGCCTGCCTACCCTAACACTCCATTTGCACCCACACAGACACTAGATCCTCTGGAAAGTGCAGTTTCTGGAAAAATAAACACATGCTGAAGAAAACACTTGGGTCATCCTACCATAAGCCCTCTTCTCTCACACAACTGTCACAGGTACTGTGTGAAATACCTTCAAATTGAGCTGTCAGTTGCTTCTCTAATTCTGTGTATGGTCCATTTTTGACATTTGTGAAAAATTCAGTTAGGTACAATAAAGCATCTTCAATGCGAGCATCCTCACTGATGATGAGAGTATCGTTTAATTTCTGCTCAGGAAGAGAGACATATACATTTAAGCCTCACTTTCCATGGCATAGGGGAAGAATACAAATTTTATTTTGCTAGATTAAGTATTACAAACTTGTGTTGTTCTCCCATTTGCATGACAACAAAAGCATTACAAAGTCTTCTCTGTATTATAGTGTTCTTACTGAGTATCTTAAGACAAAATGCTTACACACTATGCTTTAGCCCGCACCAAATAAAATGATTAGGCTCAACACCTGCTCCTCTGTGAAGATACCTGTAACACAAAGAACAAGATGGCTCCACCTCTGTATAGAAGGAAAGTGGATATATGCTTACCCGCAGGTGTTCAGTGCAAATGAAAAGGTCTCTACAAATGCTGCTCTCCTTCTCCTTATCTGCCAGTTGCAACAGTTTGCACTTCTTCTGAGTGGTAACTATCCACTGTTCATATTTCTGTGTTCCAAAGTCATTCTTGTTGATATGGGAGATAGTATCTAGTAATGAAGGAGGAAACAAACATTTGGTCATATTGACTAACAAACGACCAGAACAGTTACCTAGAAGGTAACACATTTCCCATCAACATTAAGCCTAAAAAGCCTGAAGAACACTATGATAACATCACAGAATCACTGAGGCTGGAAGGCACCTCTGGAGGTCTTTACTCTTCCTGCCTCTCAAAGCAGTGTCTCTAGAGCTGGTTGCTCAGGATCATGTCTGAGTGGATTTTGAGTACTTCCAAGGACAGAGATTCCACAACTTCTCTGAGCAACCTGTTCCAGTGTTTGACCACCTTTACAGCAAAGAAGTTCTTCCCTTTTTTAAGCACTTCTGTTTGTGCCCACTGCCTCTTGTCCTGCCTCTAGAAATCACCTAAGAGTCTCCATCTGTCTTCTTCACTCCCTGCGTTTCAACATATACTCAGATGTTAGGCTAACATTAACCCAGCACAGTCCAGCTGAGGATCTGTGTACAAATACACATCTGTAGAGTCTTCAGCAATAAAATTAGAGCTCACTTATCCTATAAGAACTCTACAGTATTCAAGAAACTGCATGAGCATTGGTCCTTGAATTACCAGGGACTTAACAGTTAAGTATTCATTTGGTAAACTGTCAATGGCACTTTAAAGGCATATTATCCAAGGGGCTGCTCTTGAAGCAGAACTAGTCAACACCTGTTTGCCACATATATACTGAATGCTTCCCAAACTTCAGTGATCAGAATATCCACAGAAGGGAAGCCAACAGCATTCATGCAAGAGTAACTGTGATGCAGAAATAAGCTGCAGAAGTGCTTGCTTAATTTACCATGCAGTTTGAATATCACAGTATATTATTTGTTGTTTGTTGGGGTTTCTTGTGATTTGGGTAGGCTTTTTTTGGTGGTTGTTGTTGGATGGGGGTTTTTTATTTGGTTTTTGTTTGATTTGGTTTTGGTGTTTTATTTTATTTTTAATTCTCCCTTTCTGCCTCAGAATATAGTTCACTCTCCAATATCTTGACAGTGGGGGAAGGGGAAATCTAGAAAATATAGAACTGAGGTCGATAGGCTTAAGGCACCCTGGTCAGCCTGCAGAAGCGAATCTCAGCACTGACAAAATCCTCTAATTTAGGGCTGGGTAGACTAAGGCTGATCCTAAGCACAGACATCCATGGGTCTCTGCTTTGTAGTGCCTGTAGCTCCCAAATTTCTTGATAACAACCTCTTACTGGACACCACTTAGAAACTCTGCAAAAGCAGAAAAGGTCAATAGATTTCTGAAAGGCTACAGAATCAGGTCTCTTGACAATGACACCTGTACTTTTTTCACAGCCATACCTCTCCCACTCTATAAACCTTCACACTACTACAGCTCCTGAGACTGGAGCCCTACAGATAAGTGTTTCCTTTCTTAGGTGGCCATATCATCACTCTGATTGTGTTCACATTCCATAGATCCTTCTCTGTAAAATTACCTTACATGCTTTTTAATAGGAAATTAAAAGACCTGGTAAACAGTGGATTTAGGGGTACCCAGAGGTATAAAGAGGACAAAATGCAGGCCAGAAAAGGTGATGAGGGCACCTCTAGAAAAAATTCTTGAGTGCAACTCAGAGAGGCCAGAGAAAATCTGAGAAGCGTCAGAGCAGCAAGAGTGAATTTAAATTTCCGCTGAACGGAAGAAATTCCAACATTCAGAGTGACACCATAACTGAGACCCTTCTTGTTTTGCATAACAGAGAGAGCTTTAGGTGTGAAACATTTGGAGAAATGCTTAAATAAGAAGACACAGTTATCTCTCATCAATGAAATCCAGATCACTGCATTTTGAAAACAAGCACTTTTGTAGTTTCGTTTCAGATTCTTTAAACATTTGAAATGATTTGGCAGTGTCAGAAGCACAGCATCCTTGGCTGCATGAAACGCAGCTTGAAATCCAAGCAAAGATATTTATGATTATCAAACTAATCATAGATAACAGGAAAATAGTTGACTCTTCTACCTGTAATCTCTTATTTAGGAAACATTGGTTAAAGGCAAGTAAAAAGGGAGGAGAAAGGAATTGGAAAGAGAGTGACTGTTCTAGCAGCCATGAGGATTCACCCTGATGTAACAGAGAATAAACCCCAGTGTCAGGCATATTAGACTGTCTTACCCACTGAGTAAATCTTCCTCATCAATGCCTCTGTCTTGGACATCAGACCTGAGATGATATCTGCAAAGTGATTCTGAACTCGCATTTTAACCCATCTGACATCTAGGGACAAGAAATGGAAGTTAATGGCCTGAGTAAGTAAAACACCAGCACAGAACAAATTCTTACGCAGAAGAATGATACATACAGTGCTCTGTGCATTGTAATGATGTTTCTTGTTAACGAGCATTACAGTTGCAGAGAAAGAAATCACTCCCAGTCTTCACTGGCAGAACTAAATAGACACCGTGGATCTCACCAAAGAGAAAACTTGCCCAAATGGGCATTGCCTTACTGCAGGGCAACAATGAAATGTATGCTTAAACTCATTTCAAGCTAGCTGTCAGCAAAGCTCCAGAAAGCTCCAAAGCTTTTTAACTTCATCTGACCAGAAGAGAATTGGATAGCTGCCTTAATTATGGTGCTTTGCATCCCACGGGAAAATAAAAGGGAGGAATACTTACGCATTTCTGGCTTGCTTCCAAATCTCTGCAGTTCCTGTTTGTTCTCTCTAACGGTGGATATGGCCTGTATGTCAAGGTAGGAGCAGAGGGTACAGATGTGCTCTATTGTTTCCTTGACGGTCTTGGCATTACCAACTCCAACAGAAGCAGTTAAACCTACAATCTAAGCACATGCATGAATAGCAGTGGTTGCATCTTCGCCACAAATGGAAAAAAAAAAGCTCAGGAGATGTTAACAACCATCACATTGTCACCATCTTCAAAAACAAGGAAACCAAACAGGCAGCTGAAGTAAACATGTTTGCAATGACTAAACCTTGAGAGCTGAACCTCATCCCCACTAGTGTCCTCTCCAACGCATGCAAGATCAGAGTTTTCAAACTGAAAAGAAACAATCCACCCACTTAAATCCATAACCAGCTGTATTTGTCAGTGCTTATAGACAGAGACAGCAAATCCACACCCAGAACTGTCCTCCATGTTCATTCAGAGGTGTCTTTTTAGCTGGACTAAAACCTCCTGCCAGCAGAGGCAGTAGCCCCACTTTATTGTTGCAGAAAACAGCAACAGAGAGGTGACAAGGAGATTACTAAGTTCTGAGGCACATGCTTTCTTCCCAGCACTGTTTGCTCACAAGTACTCCAGCCTCTGTCATGCTTGGTCAGTCCTTCTTGGCAGCTGCAGAGAAGATGTAACACGGGAAAACAGCCCAGAGGGATCTAATAATAGGGAAAAAGTGTTCCAGATGCTTCTATTTCAGTTTGCAGCCATTGAATACAGTTTGAACTGTACTAACACAAAGGGCAAGACTTGAGGCTTTGCCAACCATGCTGCAAAGTACTTTTCTTTAATGTTTCCACCACTGACAGGCTGGGCCTTACCTGAGGTAGGTGGTTTGCAGAGGAGTCAAATTTTTGTTCCAGGTATCTGGTCATTAACACATTGTAAGGGTGGTTGCCCGTAGTGTTGTGGCACTCATCAAATATCATCAGAGTGAAGATGGAGAGGGAGCTAATGATCCCTTGCTCAATGCTGTTCACAAGAATCTGGGGTGTTAGCACAATGATGTCACTGTCCTGTATAACCCTTTCCACCGAGACATTTGCAATTGTTTCACCACTAATTCCTTGAACAGAATATCTAGAAAGAAGAGGCAGAAGGTAGGGTATGAAAAAGCATGTCTTGCAGGGCAAAAAAAAAGCTAGAACAATGGGCTTTTCAGCAAGCCTGAAGGGTAGTGACCAAGTTAAAAATGTCAAATTGGTGGGACCAGCAGTTTCACCCATAGAAGCTGAAAAAAACACCTGCTGAGGATAAACAAATGAATTTTCAGCTCCCATTAACTAAAATATATTAGATTTGAGGGCTGATGAATTTGTACATCTAAGCTGTACCTATCAGTTCACATGCAAGCTGTATTTGTAGGTCCTGCCCTTCATCTCTGTCCAGTATACATCCAGCAGCATGGGACTGGTTACTGTCCAGCAGCCTCATTTTCCCATAGCTATAAGGACTCATATGTGGATGTTCAGTAATCTGTTCCTTCAAAATAAGAAGCTATACATTGTTGATTTTCCCCCAATTAATTTTTTAGTTCCATCATAGAAGTGGCCCATCATTTTCTGACTACAGTTCGAAAAACCAAAGAAGTCTGGATCCTTCCACATGGAAAAGAAAGAGAGGCTCTGCCATTTGAGAATGGCAAGAGGAGCCTCACTGCTGCTGCCTGAAACGGCCTTGTCTTTGGAACCAAGGCTGAAAGCAGTCTCAAGAGAGAACATACTTCACCCTTTTCCAGACCCAAGCACAGGTATACTTCAGTTGTTGCCATAGCTGATGCATAACCAGTGCTTAAACTCTCCAAAAGCAGGCTTCAGACTCTCCAAACAAGTAACTTGCCATTCCTGTTACTAGCCATCATTCGTATGTTAGTAGTGTTAGTGACACTCTTGTCAGCAGTAAACCCATTACGTTTTGCCGTAGACCCAGGTGACCTAAGAGGTAGTTTATTTTCTGTGGAGGAAGCCACCAAGTAGAATTGTACTTACCCACTTCTTTCAAAATACTCCTTAAATACAGTTTTCTGTTGTTCATACACTGGCACTTTGGTTGCAAGAAAGACAACTTTTGCCTTTTGTCCTGAGGGCATGTTTTGGAAATGGTGTTCACAAATCAGAAGTGCCACAAAAGTTTTTCCAGATCCTTTAAATGAAGAATGTGAAAGGTAAAGATCTAGTATGAAAGTGTTTATTTCTAAGCAGGAGCCTGTCTCACCTGAGTGTCCTGTAACAACGGGGAGCTGACAAGGGGTCTGTTACACTTACAGACCCTCTGGGGATGGATTTGAACACATGCCTTCTGCTTACTGAAGGGATAATAATCCCTTCCTCTCCCACAGTCTCAGTCTGTAAAGACTGCATAGTAGTCACTGGGAAGGAAAATCCATTTGCAGTTTTATTTCAGTTCTTTAATGTCACTGAGTCCATTTCTGCTCTTAGAGTGTGCTCCCACATTGCATCAGACTATAGTACAGGCATTAGGAACTCTCAGCTTCCCTTTCTCCTTCCCCACACTGCCTTGCTCCTCTCACATTTCTTTTCCTTCAGGCTAACCGTGCAGACCACCCAGAGCTCTTCCGTGCCCCTGCCTCTGCTATCCCACGTGCCTCTCCAGGGCCCATGGGAGAATCATGCTAGCAACATGGAAAACACAGGTGGAAAGAGAGTTGATTGATCTCTCTTTTGCTGCTGAACTTACTCCTCTTAATTCAGTCCTAAGTTACTGCAAAAGTTCCCTGTGCTGTTTTGATGGTGTAGGAATTGCAGTACAGAAGACAGGGGAGTCTCAGGGCACGTTATCCTTTTTTTTTCTTCAACTTGCAAGCCAAATTTCTTAAAGATCTGCAAAGACTAGTGAGTGATTTTAACTCAGAAATGCATACTAGGGAGTGAGAAAGCAGAGGCCAGAATATGGAAACCTGAATACAAGCACTGAAGTGCCAAGAGACACATCTGTCTTGCTCAGTCTCTGTGCTGCCTTTGGTCATTAATTTTAGGTTAGATCTTGACCTAATCCTGCAAGGAAAAGTGCTTTTAAGTAAATGTCTGACTCAACCTTTACCCTATCGTCCATAGCCCTTTCCAAAAAAAGATTTTTTTATAAGAAACGTGTTTTCTTACCTGTAGGGGCACATATCAATGTGTTTTTTCCACTAATAGCAGGCTGTGCAAGTTCAGTCTGGTAGCTCCGAGCCTTCTTTGGCTCATAAACAGGTGAAGAATGATAGATCCCTTCTAGGAGAAAACCATATTTTTGTGAAGAGTGTTGCAACAGAAATGCACAAAATATATTGTGCTCCCCTGTAGTTACTACCTAAAGTAGTAAAGGTAGAGTCCTTGCAGTCTACACAGAGCATCCTCTGACAGACAGGCCTTTTAACAGGACATACACACCAGACAAGAATTTTGTGTAGGTTTGATGGCATAGTTTTGTCACTGCTCAACTATGCTTCCTAAAATGAACTCATTTCAAGGTCTTGGCTGACAGCTCTCACCTCAAATGGTCTTTTTTTAACTCAGAAAGAAAACACAGGGGATTATTTTTCACCAAATGTATACCCTATATTCCTCTTAGCCTTCTGCTCCTCAAACTTTTGAAGTTAATACTATCTTAAACTGTGGTCTTGTCAGAAGGTTTGCACTTACACAACAGAAACTGGAAACCACTGGTGAAGCAAAATTTGCCACAGACGACATGACAGTGACTGCACAGATCCTTTGCAGCCACATTCAGCTCTCTAAATTGGCTAATACCAGGTCACGCATGAATGAGTTATATCACAGAAGAGATGTATCAACAAGAGTCCGATGTTTTGCAGACCTTTTTGATAAGGTGCTGACAGAACAACTTCACACTGGAAGTATGATAAATGAGGGGCAACCCCTAACAGGTGCAAGAGATCCTTTGCACATTAAAACAGAAGACAGCTAGGTCAGGTCAGAGAGCTGTACTAGGTCCTCAGTACTTTCTTTGTGGAACACCACATCTACATCCCTCAGGAGTCTAAGGAAATGGAAAAATCCAGCCAAAAACTGTTTTAGGTTGTTAAGTCTTACCTGAACCTGAATCTAGATTTTCACTGAGATTATCACATTCTGCTTCTTCAGAAAATGTCATTGTGGTTTCAAAGCTGCTCTCAGAGGCATCTGTCATTTCACTATAAGCTTCTGTGCAACTATCTGTACAGTCACAAAAAAAGGCATGTTATTGACCCTTTGGACTTTCAAATGTTGCGTTTGCAGTGATGACAAGGGGAAGGTGTTGGTTGCTAGCATGGGAAAACTACATAAAATGATGCTGCATCCAGGCTCCCTTTTGAGAAAGATGGATAGCACGAAGAGTCTTGAGTTTAGAAGACCCACGTACTCCATGCATGTTTATTATCCCTTAAAAATCAAGGTCGGTAATAGAATGGAAGCAAGTTACATCCTCTGTGTTTACTGACAATACTACAAATTTAACATGGACATTAACCACAAGCACAAAAAATACTTAGGAGTTAAAAAAAGCTTTCAAGACTTTGTTCACCTTTTGGAAGAGCTTAGAAATTTTAATATTATCTCCATCCATTTTCTTACATGATAATCCAAAGAGGTTTCAAAGATGCTTGCTAAAATTTTCTTTCATCCCAGAATTATTACCTTCTGCAAGAACTGTCACTGGGCTTTGTATGAAGTGTCTCATTGCAAACAGAACTTAAGGTCACAAAACAACTTTTTGAGAGGGAGAAAGAGGTGTGCGAGAAAGAACAGGTAGGTATACCGACCAGTTTCTCTAAAATCATTTGTCTTTCTTAATTATTTTGTAATGAAATATTGTATTCTGCTCTAAATTCTCCCATGGTGCAGGGTACTCCTATAGGTTTTTTTCAAGTTGAGAAAAGTAAATTCAATGGCAAAAGCAAAGTTCTATTAGGGGAAATTCTGCATTTTTACAAAATATGAACATAGTCACTTGGTAAATGCTGCTTATCAATTCCTCAAAGGAAAATTACATTACCTGCTCTGTGGATCATAGAAGTGTATCACTTTCTAGAATACCAAATTACAAATAATATTTTATCAAAAAACATTGCATCTATCACAATTCAAGCAACCAAAAAGATGGCAAAACATGAAGTACACTAGAAGGGAGGGAAGAAGATAAATGTTTTGTTTGTTTTGTGCCTTCAGAGCCTTGTACACTATCTGGTTCTGTTAAGCAAAAAAAAGCATCATTCATAAACATATGGGAAGAAAAATATTCAAGAAATTATTTCTGACAATTTCTAGGTAAGTATATGTATTTAATTTTATATAAAAGGCATTTAAAAAAAAATTAAGGGTTTTGTTTTTAAACAACGAGCAATGCAGTATCATGGTATCCTTTTAAATCAGTCTTATTCTCCTGGAAAAAAAAAGACACTCTGGTACAAGAACAGGAAAAGAGCATCACAAAATTGACTAGCAGTTTACCTTCTCTCGCATCCCACAGTTCACTTGCACTATAATATCCAGTGTTATCTAGTGCCAGCTGAAGACTTTTAGGCCAGTTTTCTTTATCGGATCGACAGAGACATTCAATGAGTTTCGTTATCCCAGCTGCTTTGCTTCTATATTCACTAATCTGCACACATAACAGACAGAAATTGCTGTAGCTTCTGGGTGACCCAAGCCACTGTTCCTTGTTTGATTTTTTGATTTGTTTTGTTTGATATTCATTTGAAAGTTGCATGTCCTTCTTTCAGAATAAACCGTTTCCAACAAAATTCACTCATTTACCTACTGCTGCTGCAATTCTGCCAGCCTAGGCATACACTAAACTTATCTGGACTACATCAACAGGTAGGTTATTTTCTGAAATATTCACAAAGCCTGAAATAACACACGCCTATTCTGTGGATTTTTGTCTGGAATAGTTCTTGTAATAAGCTGTACCTACCATAAACCTCTGAAGCCAAAATGATCAAAAAGCATTCCAGAATAAGAAAATGCAAAAAATACAAAATTTATGGCGGGCTTCGTGTTTGGTCAGATGCAATATCTTTCCAAATTTTATGTATCTCCATAAAGAAATATCGCTTTGAAAATAAAATAGCTAAAACTAATCCTTCTCAGCAGTCACAAGGAGTGGGAACACCTAACAAACTCCTTCACACAGCATCAATAACTTATGACTAACCAGTTGCAAATACTGATTGGTAGCATCATTTATCATGTCATCAATAATGACATTGAGCAAGAACTGGTTAATAATGCATCAGGTTCACATCCAAATGCAATGAAAATGTTGTTGACTTCTGTGACATGGAATTTAGCTAATGACTTTGGACAGAAGTTGCATTTCATCCAGTGGCTGTCCCTTTGTGTGCTGACAAAACTCAAAGGGCCACATGAAGTTTCTAGAGATTGCCACGCTTGAGGTAGCAGGCTACTTCAAATGCCATGACAAACAGGAATCAATTTAGGTGACATGCAAGTGCTACTTTGTCTACTTTCTTCTGTATTTTTAGGATCATTAATGCTGTGTGAATGCTCCAGAAACAAGTCTGTTCCAGAGGCATAGCAAGGCACCCTTGTCATCGCAATGTGGCACCTTCCAAATCCCCTGAGGTCTTTTCACAGGAGCTGAGACTTGGCACAGACTGAGAGCTGAGCACTGCCAATGCCAAAGGCATCCCATCCTGCTCCTTGGCCTGCAATCCTTCCCATGCCACCTTACCCACCAAGCGAGAGGGGTGAGGAACAAGACATGCAGGAATCACAGATGGTGGTGCTGTGCGAAGGTACAGCCACACAGCAAAGCCTCCTCTAAGCAAAATAAAGTGACGTCCCTGCCAGGGGCCTGTGGCTGGCCAGCCTCCTCACTCAGCAGCCTCAATTCGTCCTGCAAGTCAGGCAGCCAGCTCTTCTCCACAGCAAAACTAGGCAAATACCAGGATTTTATCCATACCTGCAGGATCTCCTCACAATCCCTTTCTATCAGACATGTGTTTATGTAAGGCATGAGGGCTACAGGGTCAACTTCTATCATTGTTGCTTCTATCCGCTTCAGCAGCTCTCGGTGCATGTCCAGTTTTTCCAGTTTGCTAAAGTCCCAGTTTTCAATTGCCTCTGCCAGCCCGGTGTAACCTTTCAAAAAAAGAGACGCTTGCTAATATGAATTCAATCTCTACATATAGCAGGTAGAAACAAGCTGAAAAAAAACAAAAATGAAGATGGAATTAAGCTTTTTTCAGTGATGACCTGTGATAGGACAAGGGGTAATGGGTGCAAATTGGAGCATAGGAGGTTCAAGGTGAATATCAGGAAAAATTTTTTTACTGTGAGGGTGCCGGAGCACTGGAACAGGCTGCCCAGAGAGGTTGTGGAGTCTCCTTCACTGGAGTCATTCAAAACCCGCCTGGACGCCTTCCTGTGTGATGTACTCTAGGTGACCCTGCTCTGGCAGGGGGGTTGGACTAGATGATCTTTCGAGGTCCCTTCCAACCTCTATGATTCTATGATTCTATGAAAAACCCAACACTTTCCCAGCCACACTGGAGAAGTAAAAAATATTTGGGCCTCTAACTGACATAGATCTAGGTGAACCACAAAAATTTCTTTATAGATTGACTGTTTTCTTTTACAGCATTTGTATGTACAGCATGAAAACCCCTATGGTAAAAGAGCAGTGACACTTGCAAAGAGGAAAAAGAACTACACCACACCACAGTTCCCATCACCCAAGCAACCAGAACAATCCCCTTTCTTTTATCTACACAGTCCTTGGATCCCTGCAGTCCATGACACTTTTCCACAGGATTTCCCAGAGCACAGGACACTACTCAGAATCACAAACACCTTTGGTCCCCTTTTCTTTTATTTTTTTTTAAGAGCCCTTTCTCTTTTAGTCCTGATCTTGGCTCATCCCTCCTTCAAAAATCTTTATCATACTGGATATGAAATCATACTGATTTCAGTCGGTCCCTGACTCAAAGTAACACAGACACCCGTAGTCTCAACAGTCAGGAAACGTCCTGGAACAGAAAGTGCCAGTGAATTGGATTTAGAGGACTTGTGTGATTTGCTGTGAGGGCTCCAGAGGTAGAAGAAAGCAGGTCATGGTCCTACAGGAACTATGGG